GCTGATCAGTTTCAGCAGCAGCTGACTTGGGGACGCCTGGTGTTCTTATCTTGAATCTGTATGTAAGTGGAACTGGTGTCCAGATTCAGCTGCTGTTGAAACTGATCAGTTTCAGCAGCGGCTGATGCCAGTTCCGACTTACATACAGATTCAACTTAAGAACAATCCTACAGTCCCTATCTTGTACGTAACCTGGGGACTGCCTGTAGCTGAAGTTGCACAACTTAGGTTGATGGTCTGCAGCAGAGTAGACAAGGCCTCACTTTTCTTCTCACAATTAATATTTTGCCCAAGAACAAGAAGGAAACTTGATAGGATGATACCCTCGCCTTGATACAAGCATGTTAACTGCATCATGCCTTCCCAACCAGCACTGCCTTGCTGAGCTGCCCAAGGGACAGACAGCAAGTCTGGAGTGAGTGATGAGTCTCAGGAGAGTTAATGGAGTCAGGAAGAGAAAAGTGTCTGTCCTCATTCTTTGGCTGAGAGTGCCTCACCCTATTCATTATCACCCCTTGTGGCTGGCAGAGGTATGGCGTTGGCTGGAATTTTGTCAAGTCCTTGAACAGAAAAGTATTGTGGCAGCATGGGACGGGGAATGTGGCGGTGAGTGCTCAGAGCTCCAGAAACACTGCAGAGGACACACACTGTTGGGAAACAAATCTTGCTTCTCCCTATCTTGGCTTTTGTAACGAACTCATGTTCATCCCCCAATGCCTCATCTATGTTTGTGATTATGCTGCCCTGCAAACATGATGCAGAAAAATCATGAGTCCCGAGACAGATTCAATGCATCCTAACGGAATGTGTTTGCAGGAAGTGACACAGGTTCAGAGGGTGGGTTGGCCCATGAAATGAGTGGTCCTCCTAAAATGATCCTTCTCTTTCTCTCTCTCTCCAGCCCTGCCATATGACTTCTCTTTGATACCCATGCCAGCTAATCCAAAAGGCAAAAAGTAGCCGTGTTTTGAAATAAAGATCAGTCAGGATTCTCAAACTTTTTTTTTTGCTAGGACCCTCTTTTGAAAAAGTCATACTGTGATGACTCCCCTGAAAAAGTGACAAATGGCCCCCCACTGTGCTACCCTTACTTCTGCACTGCTTCTGCTTGAGCCACCAACAACTGCTCTTGCAACCCCCCCCATAATAATCTTATAACCCCCTTTTGGGTTGGGGTCCCTAGTTTGAGAAATGTTGAATCAAATTCGATGACTTTTAAAAATTCCCTGTTCAACAGGCACAGGCTAGTCAACATCTCCCTGTTGCAATGGTGCTTCTAATAAGATATCTCCTGGCACAAAGGCACTTTAGGTAATGTCATGTACATAAGTCCCAACTGCTGAGTGTATTCTTGGTTCTGAAGCCAACCATAAGGGCTGTGAACTCTGGGCTTCTAGGAGTTGTGCTAATAGATGCATTGGCCTGTTTTTAAGTGCTGCTGATTGACAGAAAAATACCACACCAGCCAGTTAAATGGGTCTGTCACTTTTTGATGTGTCTCCTTCTTTAAGGTAATAGGAAGATTCATAGATGCAGAATAGAAAGTGAAAAGAGGTGGCGAATTGCGCATCTGGGGTTCTGCTCCAGTGTTTGAGTAAGAGCTTGTCCCCTTTCCCTGTGTATCTCTGCAGGACTCCGATCATTGCAGGGGGGCTCTTTGTGATCGACAAGGCTTGGTTCAACCACCTCGGGAAGTATGACACTGCCATGGACATCTGGGGTGGGGAGAATTTTGGTGAGTCTCTTGTTATACAGGGATGTGTGGGGCTTCATTCTCACAAGAGATGGGGCTAGATCTTCCTCTCAAGCATGGCTGGTATTACCTAAGTTCTGCCCCAAGGCCCCCTTTTGCATTCTGGTCTTCCCCTGTGGCCCCAGCCCAGGCTACTCCTCTTCCTGCCCTTGCTTAGCCTCTCCCCCAAAGCAGGCTGGGCCTGGGTCTGGGTCTGGGGCTAAGGCAAGCTGATTGGCTGTCTAGAACCTGGGGCAGTTGGTGTTGGTGTTGGTGTTGGGGCAGCCTGCTGCTCTGGAGCTAGGGCTGGCCAGAACCCAAGATGGCTGGGATGGGGCGCCTACATCTGGTGGTGAAGAGGGTGGAAGGAATTGAGGTAGAGACATGGTCTCCAGCAGAAAGGGTGGGCTCAGGGACTAGTGCCCAGAAACAGGCCTTCAGGTAGGGTGTGTCTAAACTACATGGCTCCATCGATGGAGCCATGTAGTTTAGACACACCCTACCTGAAGGCCTGTTTCTGGGCACTAGTCCCTGAGCCCACCCTTTCTGCTGGAGACCATGTCTCTACCTCAATTCCTTCCACCCTCTTCACCACCAGATGTAGGCGCCCCATCCCAGCCATCTTGGGTTCTGGCCAGCCCTAGCTCCAGAGCAGCAGGCTGCCCCAACACCAACACCAACACCAACTGCCCCAGGTTCTAGACAGCCAATCAGCTTGCCTTAGCCCCAGACCCAGACCCAGGCCCAGCCTGCTTTGGGGGAGAGGCTAAGCAAGGGCAGGAAGAGGAGTAGCCTGGGCTGGGGCCACAGGGGAAGACCAGAATGCAAAAGGGGGCCTTGGGGCAGAACTTAGGTAATACCAGCCATGCTTGAGAGGAAGATCTAGCCCCATCTCTTGTGAGAATGAAGCCCCACACATCCCTGTATAACAAGAGACTCACCAAAATTCTCCCCACCCCAGATGTCCATGGCAGTGTCATACTTCCCGAGGTGGTTGAACCAAGCCTTGTCGATCACAAAGAGCCCCCCTGCAATGATCGGAGTCCTGCAGAGATACACAGGGAAAGGGGACAAGCTCTTACTCAAACACTGGAGCAGAACCCCAGATGCGCAATTCGCCACCTCTTTGGCAGAAGAGATGATATAGTTTCTTCATATGGCAATGATCAAACACTTTCCATTCTACTAGTGTCACTGGAGAATGCTGAAAAGAAGCTACTTAAATTAGACATTTGTAAATCGCCAGGTCCAAATAATTTCTATTGAAGAGTTTGAAAAGAGCTGGTTGAGAAGAGCTGAATTGTTAATGTTGGTTTTCAAGAAGTCTTGGAGGAATTGCAAAAGTGTCAGAAGACTGAAAGAAAGCTAACCTTATGCCAGTTTTTAGAAAGAGTAAATGGGATGATCCAGATAATTATAAGCCTGTCAGCCATCCCAGGCAAGGTAAGAGAGTAGCTGATACAGGACCTGATTAAAAAAGAATTAAAGGATGGCAATATAATTAATGCAAGTCAACGTGCATTTATGGACAACATCTCCTGTTCAAGTAAATTGGCATCTTTTTTTTATGACATTACAAATTTGGTTGATAAAAATGGCAATAGCGTTGATGTGACTGACTTGGTACTGTGCAACATCCTGATTAAAAATCTAGAAAATAAAAAAACCTAACATGTCACCTAGTAAGTGGATTAAATCACGGCTAACTGTTAGGTCTCAAAATACAACTGCAAATGGGGAATCATCATTCAAGTGGGGTCCCACACGGATCGGTTCTTGGCCTTGCAGTGTTTAACATTTTTATCAATGACCTTGCAAAAGACATTTACTCTTCATTGATAAAGTATGCCAATAATACAGAAATTGAGAGAGTGGTAAAATCAAAGAGGACATGTCTCTGATATAGAATGATCTGGTTCACTTAGGAAAATGGGTGCAAGCAAACAATATGTGTTGCGAAACACAGCTAAATGTAAATATATGCATCTAGGAACAAAGAATGCAGGCCATATTTACAAGACAAGGGATTCTATCCTGAGAAGCAGTGACTCTGAAAAAGATTAAAGGGTCATTAATCAGCTGAACATGAGCTCCCAGTATGATGTTGTGGCCAAAACAACTAATGCAATCCTGGGGTGCATAAACAGGAAGCTTGAGTATCAGTAGAAAGGTTGCATTACCTCTGTATTTGGCAGTAGTGCGACACTGCAGGAATATTGTGTCCATTTCTGGCTCCACAATTCAAAAAGGATGTTGATAAACGGGAGAGAGCTCAAAAAAGAGCCTCAAGAATGATTAAAAGACCAGAAAACATGCTGTGCAGTGACAGATTCAAGAATTTCAATCTATTTACATTCAAAGAAAGAAGTTAAGGGGTTGCTCTATTACAGTCTATCAGTGTTTATGTGGGACACACATATTTAAATATTTAGTGGGCTCAACAGTGTAGCAGAAAAAAGGAAAACATGAGCAATGGCTGGAAGTTGCAGCTGGACAAATTCAAACTGGAAATGAGAGGTAATTTTTTTTTCACTAATCAACGGAGCCATTTACCAAAGATCATAGTGAACTCTCCATTGTTGCCAATTTTTGAATCAAGATGGGATGTTTTTCTAAAAGCTCTGCTCGAGGAATTACTTTGTGGAAGTTCTATGGCCTTTGTTATACAGGAGGTGAGGCTAAATGATCACAGTGGACCCGTCTATTAATCTATGAAAAAACAGCCATCAGAGCGTTGTGACAACGCTTTCATGCCTATACTGCTAAATAAGAGAGAGATTCCCAGGTTAACCTTGGCTAGATGGGAGGGGTTCCAGCATGGAAAAGGCTGAGAAAACCTGGCCTAATTAATTTGATGGCAAGTGGATGTAGGGCCCTGTGCTTCTGGACATCTCATTCCACCTCTGCCCTCTGTGTTCACATGTGTCATTTGGGAAGCTCCTGGCTGTGAGCCCCGATGAAGGGGTTAAGTAGATGATGTACTATCCTCACTCACCATGTCCGACAGTGCTAGATCAGGTTGGGCTTGATTCTGTTGGCTGCTGTAATCATGCTGCTGATTGGATCCAGTTGGCCAGCAGTTGTGAAAGGCGAAGGATGCACTTGATGACAGGGAGGAGATCTTACGCTGGTTTTAATACTTCAGCACCTCTGGGGAGTGTGACTAGCAAGGAAAAAAAATCCTATCTTAACAGATGTAGCAATGCTGTCAGGGATTCATCGGAACAGATGTTTGTGTTTTACAATAATCCCATCCACTGTCTAGCGCTATTGATGTCTTCTATTCGCTATTTCTCTATAGTATTTTATTTCTTTCTTTTCGTGTAAAATGTGCGTGTGAGAGAGAGAATTTCTTGCCAGTGGTCTGACCTGCAGCATCTGCTCTTCCTTCCTCTGCTATCTGAAGAAATTCATCACAAAATCCCATGGAGCCTTTTTCCCATCTTGAATTAATGGTCTCAAACTTGTCTTTGCAAAGAAAACTAAACATAGATATAGGACGTGCCATACTGGATCAGATGCGTGGTCCTGTATCCTCATTCCAGAAAGAGACCAAAATAGACAATTATGGAAGAGTCTCCCCCTAGGGGTATGTCTACACAGGAACATTATTTCGAAATAACTAGCATTGTTTTAAAATAACGTAGTCTGCATCTACACAGCAGGCAGTTATTTCAAAATAATGTCAAAATACTATCAAGATAAAGGACTTCTTACTCCGACACTATTGTATGAGGTGTAAAAGAAGTCAGAGGAAGAATGCTCTGTTTCAAAATAAATGCTGTGTAGACACTCCCCATTTTGAAATAAACTATGCAATTGACGTAGTTCAATTTGGGTAGCTTATTCTGAGTTAAGCCCTGCTGTGTAGATGCACTTTAGGAGAAATTTCTGTCAGTTAGCTGTTGGCTTACACCCTGAAGCATGAGGGTTTATACCCTTTATATCTGTGGGATCCAACCAGTTCTGAAGCAGTAGCCACTATAGTGGCTATAGCTTCCAGCAAACTAACCACACTCAGCCAGCCAAATAGCCACATTGTTCAAACCAAATAGCCACACTCAACTGGCCAAATAGCCACATGTGGCTAGCGTGCTGGGCACTATGGCTTTATATGTCATTCTAACCTATGTTATGGAGCTAGGTGTTCTCGTTAGTAGCATGTGTTCTCACCCACCCAATGTCAGAGGGCAGCCATATCATGGAGTCCCAGGCAGAATTTAACCAAAGTTCAAACTTTAATAGACTCAAGATTTGCTAGCCATGGAGCTTGCTAGATTAAACTAATCAAGAGTTGCAGGCATCCCATGAAGTGCTAAAACAAATGGCATTGGCCAAGCCTAGATTATAAACATAGAGGCTGGAGGAGACATGCTTTATGGAAGGCAGTGTGGTCCCTGGACTGGCAGAAGTCCTGGGTTTGATTCCCAATTCTATCACTAACCTGCAACATGAGCTTGTACAAGTCAGTTCACCTCTCTGGTGCCTCCTGTAAGCTTTATAAGGCAGGGAATGTCACTGACTGTATATATTTGGCCTAGCACAGATGGGTCCTGATCTCGGTTGGAGCCGCTGGGCAGTAGTAAGCATTCCTCTAGTATCCTCCACCAGTACAGTTTCTGAGGATAGACAGGTTGGAAACCCCACCTGGGACACGGTGAGTCTTCTTGGTACATAGAGGGAAAGTTGGCTTCTCTCTGCAACAACTGTGGTGTATCTGGCCCTTTGTAATAGGCCAACAGCTGGGACCTCTCCAGCATGAGGGAGCTGAGAAGCGGGACGACAGCTTGTGTGTAAATGGGATAGTACATACGACACAAAATGGACCAAAGAGGCTCAAATGGTGACATCAAAGTGGTGGACTTGAACCTCCGACTGTGTGAGTTTAGCTCCTGCTCTCACCTCCCTCCCTGAGAGGGTTCAGAACTTGCCCCTCAGTGACCTAGCCGCAGAGCTCCTCACCTTCCCACCTGACAGAACAGAATCTCCCCTGTGCTAAGCGCACAGCGGACTAGATTCTGATTTAAGTTGCGCCAGTGGCAGGTTTCAGGGTAAGTGGCTGAGACATTAGGCTCTTGTGGTGCATTTTGCACTTCCTTTCATTATATTTGCAGTGAAATACATTTCAGCCCTCTGGTGATTTACTCTTCTTCCTAATTAGATGGAGCACTCTGAATACAATGTAGCACTGCAGTGGGTTTTTTTTTCAACATTAACAACTGTAAGCTCCGCAGCTTTATGGCAGCGTGATTGCCAGCCACAGGGGACTGCCAGACTCCATCTAAAATAAAAGCAAGTTGGAATCTGCATTCAAATTAGAGGGAGGGCTATTGGGATTCTGTCACTGCCCACACTGGTTTGGAATTTCCTTCTTTAGCTTTCTGTCAGCAAATTTACTGCGGCTGGTGCCCGGCTGTTGAGTGTCTGCCTGCAGATTGAAGATGCTTCATGTCACTATAGCAAGGGCAAGCCTCCAGCATGCCTCAAACCTGACCTGAAGGGACCACCCTGAGGGCTGTCTCTGGGGTGGTTAGTGCCCCTGGCTGTTCACTTTCATTGCCAAGAGTGCCAGTAGAGATGCCAAATAGGCTGTGGATCCTTAGCTGCCAGTTTTAGAGTGAGACCTGCCAACTCATTTCATGCAGATCACTGAACTCCCTTTGGATAGTGGTGACATCCCAGCCCTGAATGGATTCAGGATGGAGACCTAGCAAAGAATGAGTCCCTGGCTCATTAGCTATCCCTTCCAACACTCAAACCCCCTGCTTTGCTGTCTTCCCCTCTCTGCAGACATTGCAATTCCCCTTGGCAGGCCTTGCTTCCATGTGCCATGTAACTCAGGTGTGCAGAATTGTAGCATTGTCAAGTTGGTAGCAAATAGTGACAGGGAGAATAGGAGGGGGGTCATGGTACTAGCAGAAGAGTGTTCCTCTGTCAGGACAGAGCCTTGCGTGGCCGAGCTGGAGCAAGGAGATCCTTTGGAGTCTGACACTTTGTTACACACCATGTTTAATAGAACATGGAAGGATTGTAATAGTAACTGAAGCAAAAGTAACAATGCACCAGTGATTGGCTTAAAACTCAAGTAATGGGTTGTGGGTAAGGGACAGGTCTAGGTACCAGGGCATATGGCTTGCATTCCTGGCCTTGTGTGACTTGGACACATGTGTTAACCATGTCGTGCCTCAGTTTCCCCATCTGTTAAATGAGCATAAAACAACCTTACTTAGAGGGTGCTGTGAGGATTACTCATTACAGTAGCACTCTCAGTCCCTTGGAAGGCAGGTGATATAGGTGGGGCCAAGTATTAGTTCCATACCCAGTAAACTGGGAAGAATTGAAGGCTTTGAATTGTCCCTTCTGGGACTTGCAAGGCTGCTAGGTGGTTGGAAGTTGATGCTTCACTTACTAAGTCTCTTCTTCAGTTTGAGCACTGTGCTTCCAGACTGATTTTCAGTGCATTGAAATCACATCATCCTTCCTCTTCATTGTGCTTTAAGATGCAAGCTAGCAGGGGGTTGAAATCTACAGCCTACCCACACCCTCACAAACCCTTCAGAGAGCCATAGTCCCTGGCAGGCTGAACAGAAAGTGGAGGGATGAATGGCACAGCATCCACAAGCCAGTTCCCAGCTGCTTGGGCTAACTGTGCGTTCATCAGGTTTTAATTGCAGTGATACTCAGGGACCGTACAGTGTGCTACACATGGGCAGATGAAGAACGGATGCAAGGAGAGCTGAATGTAACAGCTGAGAACCTCTAAATCCCTTACTAATCTCATTTCCTTCCTGTTGTGATTAAGGTGGCTCCCAATATAGCACTAAGATGCGGCACAAGGGCATTTTTTATTGGCCCATTAATACCTGCCCTGGGTGAGTTGTGAGGCTCCACTCCTCGCCAGTGCTTGCTTCTCAATAATTGCCACAGCAAAAGGAGGGGGGAGCTGCAAGAGGGAGGGGACTTCTGAAAGGAGACACTCACGTCTGTTCCGCGGCCGCCTGCTGTGCTTCCGCTTCTGGGCTTTGGTAGTGTGTCCTGAAGGGGCCTTGTCATTAGAGATGAGCTCAAGGCATGAAATTCCTCATCCCAGCTAGTTTGGTCTCACCAGGGCTTTGCCAGAGAGAGCCAGGAGGGGCAGTGAGGGCTGGAAACAGCTGCAGCTGGGTAACCCCCAAAGAGCACATGCGGACTATGATCATGATTGGCTGTTTTGTCCTATCTGATGATAATGTCACTGTGTTTAAAGGGATACTCACCCAATTTTGCTCCCCCCCTCCCCCAATTTATATTTTATATCTTAAAATACCTTTTACAAAAGCTGCGTGACAGTGATGTTTTCATGAATTGGAACAAAAATTGCACAGTAACCAAGGGAGAGGGCACACAGGAAGAGTCCTTCCCTTTAAGGAACTTAATTTTCAACTGGAGAGAGAGACAGAGAAAGCCTTGCCTAATGGTTTGAGAACCAGGGACAGCTTTAGTGCTGGTGCTGGCTCTGACATGAACTTTCTGTGTGGTTTTGGGGAAGTCACCTAGCCCCCGTGCATCAGTTTCCCCAAACCATATTAACGGAGTTCTAAGGAGAGCCGCGGAAATTATCAGGGGAAATATTAAGATTGTTTTGAGAGCTCGATTACCCCGTGACAAAAGTGGGGACATGATAATGCTCCACCGATACTTGCAGGGTTTTCAAAGGGAAAGCAAAGAATCACTTGCTGATGCATGAAGTGTACCTAAGAGTAATGGGATCATGGCGGAATTAAGAAAGGTGAGTGCCAGGTCAGACCTCCTGACAGGGAGACATATTAAGCTGAAGAATAATCTCTTAAGTGAAGAGATGGAACGGCCATTTCTTAGAACTTTTAAAACTAGGCCAGTTGGGGGACATGTCCAAGGTACCAATGGCAGATAGGTGCCGAACTCTCTCTGACTCTGGAAGTTAGGCATGTAACAACCACCCTGCCTTTAAACTCTCCTCCGTTCTTATTGGCATTATTTGCATTGAAGCAGCAACTGATCAGCACCATTATGCTAATACTGAAAAATGAAGTGTAAGGCTCTGTTCTGCTCATTCCCTCTGGGGCACTTGTCAATGGCCACTGTTGGCAGACAGGATACTGGGCTAGATGGGCCTTTGGTCTGACCTATATGGACGTTCTTATGAATAATCCTGAATAGGCAGGGCAATGGAGTATATGATCTAATGGGTGTCTTTCCTGTCTAATTTCTGTGATTCAGCAGTAAAATGGGAGTAACAATACTCTCCGGTTTTCCAGGGGAGGAGCAAGCCAATGTTTGTAAAGCTTGATGAGTGCTAAATATCACTCTTTACTTTCAAAAACCATCATCGTCATCCAGGATACAAAAAACTGTGAAATTGGTTTCTGCTTATTTTCTTTCTGTCTCCCACAGGGTGTTCAAATCCCTATTCTGTCTAAAGGTGATGATGATCAGGCAATGAGGTATCGGATTTATAGATTTGAAGGGCAGAAGGGATCATTAGCTCATCTAGACTCACCTCCTGCATTATACACCTATAGAATTTCAGCCAGTTCCTCCGGTATTGAATCCTTTATCCACAGGGGACATAAATGCTCCCAGAAAGGCCCATCCAGACAGTCAGAAACTTGCTTGGGCAATTTGGACTAAATTACCTGATACCAGCAGCTCTGTTTTCCATGCTGATTCTGCACAAAGCAGCGCAGGCAGATGTGTATGTAAGTGACCTTGTTGTACATGTGCATGCAGCATAGGCACCAAGGGCCCAGTTGTACAAGATGCTGAGCATTTCCTGGGATGTGTAAACACCCTCAGCTCCCATTGATTCCAGTGGGAGCTGAAGCGTGCTCAGGACCTTTCATAATCAGCTCAGTGCTTGGCAGGATCAGGCCCTGACTCATAAAAATGCGGGCCTTCTAAAGGCATGTTACAGTCATTAATAAACTGAAATCATACCCTTTCTTGGTGAGCCCCCGTGGAGGGACGTGGCTCTGAATTACACAGTGCAGAAGTTATTTCTAGAGGAACAAACAGCAAGATGTTTCTGAGACATAAGCTATGCTGCATGTCTTGAAGTCTAATCATAGAATCATAGAATACTAGGACTGGAAGGGACCTCAAGAGGTCATCGAGTCCAGCCCCCCGCCCTCAAGGCAGGACCAAGCTCTGTCTACACCATCCCTGACAGATGTCTATCTAACCTGTTCTTAAATATCTCCAGAGAGGGAGATTCCACCACCTCCCTTGGCAATTTATTCCAATATTTGACCACCCTGACAGTTAGGAATTTTTTCCTAATGTCCAATCTAAACCTCCCCTGCTGCACTTTAAGCCCATTACTCCTTGTCCTGTCCTCAGAAACCAAGAGGAACAAATTTTCACCTTCCTGCAATGTTATACACCGTGCTATAGGCAGGTTTCAAGTGGGCTATCTTCAAACAGAGAGTAAGGAGTTTTGATATGTAATTTTAAGAAAGCTGAACCTAGGAAAGCACCTCCAGTAATGGATTTACCTGAATTTGGTGTAGCAAAGGGTGAAGTGAGAGAGAAAACCAGGCTCTACCCAGCTCCTGTGGTCAGGAGATAAAATGTTGACAATGCTTCTCTTTCAGAAATCTCCTTCCGTGTGTGGATGTGTGGTGGGAGCCTGGAAATTATCCCCTGCAGCCGGGTCGGACACGTGTTCCGGAAGAAACACCCCTATGTCTTCCCAGAGGGAAATGCCAACACCTATATAAAGTAGGTGTTGTGCTCTTACTGTCATTGTGTGCTGCTGACTGATGAGTTGCTATGTGAACAGGAATTGGATGTTACTGGTAGAGGAACACCCACATCGGAAATGGATGAAGGGGGGAAAGTTTGGCTGGAAAGATTTGAGGTGTCAACATTTCAATAGTGTCCCAGCCCAAAACAGACCTAAACGCAGGGCATTCGAGCCCCTCTGGATTTCCCTAGAGCAGGAGATACTTTCAGTGGCATAGGCCACTGAAGTAATGGCTCCTTAATGCCTTCCCTGTCCCTAAGCACAAGGGGTGCGGCAGGGAATACTCCTTCCCCTTGCTGATTCCTAGATGCCACCAGGCTGGTAGCTAGCAGCTCTGAAATTAAGGGGAACATAAAAGTGTCTTAGTGCTACCTTGTCCCCACTGACTCTGGCCTGGGGCTTAGGACAGTTCAACCAGACCAGAAAATCTGGGCCAAATGCCTGCAAGAACATAACTATAATGAAGACCGAGCCAGAGGAGCATGTTGAATGAAGATGTGGTGCAGTTTGATCATCCACTCCAAATTAAGACTGCCTTCAGAGCAGGCCCTAAGGAATGCTTGGACTTCTGACAGCTGGGAGCAGCTGGCTTCACTGTAGTTGGCTGCTTATGACACAGGACACTGGGGCTAGAGTTTTTGCACAAAAATGGCTGTTTTTGTGCAAAAACTCACACAGTGTCCGCACCTCAAGCACGTTTTTGTACAAGTAAAACAAAAGAACAGAGGGTTTTTTCCATTGTAGATATTCCTCTTTCTACGAGTAATAACTCCTTTTTGCGCAAGAGTTCTTGCACAAAAAGGTGTGTGTGGACGGGGAACGGGGTTTTTTTGCTTAAAAAGAGGCAATTGAAAAAAGCCCCGGTGCCCTGGTGGCCATTTTGTAAATAGAAATCTGAGTTTCTTTTCAAGAGAGCATCCATGCAGTCTGGACGTTCTCTTGTGCAAAAATGCATTGCTTTTTCAATGCGCTTTTGCAATGTGGACGTGCTCTTGCACAAGAAGTTTTTGCGGAAGATATCTTCTGCAAAAAGCTTCTTGTGCAAGAAGCCTGTAGTGTAGACATAGCCTGGGTGACAGGCCAGGACTTGGGATTCCTGTTTAGTGGCCAACAGATCCCTGTTCTTGTTAAGACAATGAATATAACCTTTCAAGCACATGCTGACATGGCTAAAGCTAAGCGCTCCACAGCACAGCTAAGAAAGACAAGTTATAACCCTGTGAAGGCATCATTCATCTGTCTGGGTTGGTGTTGGAAATAGTTAGCCAAAGAATAAGAAAGTGCAGAAGGGGTAGTGGAGAATTAAAGGATCTCTTTGAACAGCCAGTGGCGTCAAAAAGGGTTTTTTCCCCTTTCAAGTTTTGAAGCGGAGGGTTGTTCATTGTTATCCCAATAAAGAGAGTGTGGTCCAAAGATAGAAACAGTTGTGTTTATCACCAGTTTGTTTCCCAAATTAGCTGTGTGTTTGTGGATCCCTTTTTGTGTATATTTTCTAATGTTGTAAGATTAACTAATAATAAATGTGAATACTCAGTTTCTTGCAGTATGGCCACCTCTTACCCGTCCACTACATGTCTTACTCAGGCTTATTGTGGATGTACTGCTGGTATGTCTCCGTAGCAGGGCTAAAGTCGGAATAAGCTATGCAACTTCAGCTACGTCAATTGCGGAGCTGAAGTCGAAATAGTTTAACTAGGCTTTTGGCACTGGCTATCCATCAGGAAGTTGAAGGAGGAACATTCTTCCTTTGACTTCCCTTACTCCTCGTGAAATGGGGGTTACCACGAGTTGGAGTAGGAAGTCCTCTAGTTTGACATAATTTCAAAATAAAGGCTTGTAGTGTAGATGCACATTTTGTTATTTTGGAATAACATCAGTTATTCTGAGCTAATGCTGCTGGGTAGATGTACCCTGAAAGGCCAGTCAGTTATATTTTCATTTCCATTCTCAGTTATCACATTCTAGGTATGATTTTCAGATATGTCTTGCAGCAAAGTTAAAGAGAAAAGGGCCTTTAAGGATAGGTGACCAACAATGAATACATTGCCTCGCTTCAAGAGAATGGTGAAGGAGAGATGTAATCACAGATACAGTAAAAAAAGGAGGAAGGAGACAAGTTGGAGGCTGACCATGGAGAGAAGTATTTGATAAAATGTTGTAGGGAAGAAACCTTCATTGGTCCCTGTTGGGGATGAAGAGGGTGAACTTAAACAGGTTCTGGCTGTAAAGTCCATAATAAAGAAGAGAGGCTTTAATGGATTCAAGAAGAGAGGAGCCCAACCTAATAGTTTATGTACAGACACCCATGAAATTTGGGAGGTTTGGATTCCAAATACAGATGCCAGCTTTGCTGTGGATCCCCATCTCTATTATAGGCCAAACCAAACTCTCCAGTCAGAATGCCTTTGAACATAGGGAAGTTAAGATCTGGGTTGAAACGTTGTGGTGTAGGTCCATCTCCAACGAAAAGAAAGATCAGGCAAATGGAACAGCCACTCTGAGGGGTGGCTGGGGTATTATCACTAGAGCCATTCAAATGGGGATCAGAAAGCATATTCTGGTGGATCGTGTGTATAGGCATTAGCAAAGCATCGAGGGCTAAGATCTGATGAGCCCTGTGATGCCTTGTAGCCTTAACTTATAGCATTCTAAGATGTGAACTTGGAGTGTGGACTCAGGCAATCTAATACTCCTATTTCTCATCAAGGCTCCCAATAAAGGCCCAGTACAAAGATATTACCATATATGTATAAATTCACACCTCTAGGTTTCTTCCAGGGATTGATTTCTTCCATACACCTTCTTTGCCACTCCCTTCCACACCAGTCTCAGCAAAAGAAAGTTCAACTTCCCAACTCATGCACAATTCACATGACAGTTATTGCTTGCTAATTGACACAAGTGGGTTTGGTGCAAAAGAGGACATAAATCTAAGGTCAGTCACTGTCCAGAGAAGTTTACAGTTGGGTGGTGTCAACTCACAGGGTCATGGCCAAACAGGATTATGAATTCACTTTACAACAGAGTCAGTTAGGGATAGTTGCTTTTATTAATCTCACTGCATCACTACTATTACAGAGTTAATACTGCCAAATGGTTACACAGCTACTGCAAAGTGACACATCAATAAGCACAGGCAGAGTAATGTATAAAAGAGTAACTGGCACTTAGAAATGCTTACATCTCTTTAGTCTGCAGGGAGTCCCGTTCCTGTCTCCTCAACCAGGCCACAGTGGATGTGGCTCCATCTGGGGGAATCCAGGGCACCCTCCAAAGTCTAGGTCCTTGGTGAGACTCACTAGGCATAGAACTCCCTACACTAGTTATACTACAGTTGTTTACTGGGTGTGCGTGTACTGCCTCAACACCATTCTTATCACTTTCATGAGCTGAGACCGAGGTCAAGCTTGTTTACCACTTTACAGTTTCCCAGATCAAGGCGTGGGGTAAAGCTGATAAAGCCCAGCTGCTGTTTGCGTTTGCAGGGTACAAGGTTACCAGGCTGTGTACAGCTAGGTTGGAAACTTCTATCCCGGGCCTGCTAAGCTGTAGGGCCCACATATGACATTTTATGTGATAGGCGGGTTTTGCAATAATAGTCCAGACCATTAAATACTGAGGCCATCACTTTCACAGAGAGTATTCCTGAAACATAGAGAAGTGAAAGAATAGACATAGAGTAGCAAGAAATATTTGCAAGGAAATCTGAAGCTGCATCAAACTCGCCTGGTTTGAGAGTTTGTTATTGGCTCTAAACTCCACTCAGGGTCATTACAGGATTTCTGTAAGTCTGCAAGCCTCCTGCACTCCTCTGAGCTGACCTGGAGCCTTTTTCTAGTCTCACTTTGAAGCCACTGGGAGTTAATGGTTTCTGTTGAGTTTAACTTTGAGTTTGAGTTTATTCAAATGAAACTCAAGGATGCAAGAAGGCAAATGCATGAGGGCTGAAATGGAGGAGGAAATATGTGACTGAAACTTTGAGAACCAAAAGAGTTGAAGTGTACAGCCCATCAGAGACCTCTACCAGCTGTGAAACCAGGCCCCACGCAGGTCTTTCTGGAATGTTACTGTGAGAACTAGCTGTGATCTTATTACACCAGCCAAGATGAAAACTCCTCCTCCAAACAGTCACCTAGGTTGTGTGTAGCAATTGCATGGACATGGAAGTAGTAGAACCAGGGTGGTAACCAGGAATGGACTGAAGTGGTGTGGGTTGGGTGAAGCCAAAGTAGCACCCTCAATATGTTGGTAGTGGGATAAAGGGAGAGGTGTAGTCACAGTGTTGGGGGCTCCCTTGAATGAAAGTAGAAAGTCCCTTGATATGCTTCATTGGTTTTCACCTCTGCCATTCGTTGCTCCTCTAGAAATACCAAGCGCACAGCTGAAGTGTGGATGGACGAGTTCAAACAATACTACTACGCTGCCCGGCCTGCAGCACAAGGAAGGCCGTATGGAGAGTAAGTTGTGGTTTTGGTGGTCAGTGGAAGCACAAAGAGCTCTGCCCAGTGTGCCTGATTCAATGAAAAGGTCAAGATAATGACACGGGGGCATTGTATGCACCTGCGAAGTGTCTTCCTCTAGTTTCAGTACTAACAGTTAAGTGCTCACACAAAGCAGATGCTACAGGTAAGGTGATACATTCCCAGCTCCTGAGCATATAACCAGTTTGTTTAGAAGCTGTTAAGTCATGCCATGGAGACAACTGAATTCTTGCTGGGGACCCCCATCCCGCCCAGATTCCCACTCTTGACTTTGAATAGATCTAGTCCTAGAGCTCAGCTTTAACAATGCGATTTAGACGTGAAACCAGCAGGCAAGAAAAGTAATCGGCATGTTCTGGATCCTGTCTTGGCAGACTTGGTTTTCTGGAAGCTGAATTACTACTCTGTGTTTTGCCAGGACATTTGTGATTCTTTCCTTTATAATCATGGCTAGTCAGAAATCCTCCTTATTAAAAAAAGGTCTGTATTCACAGGCAGCAAACTCTTGAGTTCAGATAGCAGCCAGCCTTGCATTCTAATCCCCTAGTTTAACATGCTCCTCACTGTCACAGAAATTCTCCGTTCAGGGCTGAGAATGAGCATGTCTCAGTCCAAAGGTGAATTGCTGGAGCAGATTTTCTTCTGCTTTTCAGTTGTCAGAGAATCTAGATGATTAAAATACTGTGCAGCCTGACCTGCTTACCATCAGCCATACCCTCCCTTCTGCTATCAGCACAGAGGGAAAGAAAAGCTCTGTCACATTCTGCAAACAGAACTGCAGAGAGGACTGGGATTTGGGAAGGGGAAAGCAAAATATATGGGTTGCTTCTTACTGCTTTATAGTTACTAACAGCCCACATGTGCTCGCTTGACACCCGCTTAGCTTCATGATTAAAAGTGGGCGTGGCCTGCCCAGGTAGTACGCTGGAATCAAGGAACAGCCACTCGGTATAATATGCTCCCCCACTGGTAAATTTGTCCTGGATTCATCCAAGTGCTTAAGTTGAGCAGGAGGGCTGAAGTTGTCCCCTGTACTCATTTGAATCCTGAATGCAGTAGCTTCTTCCCGAAGGCTGGGAGAGGTACACTCAGTTACTGGTGGGCTTCTGCCCATCTGCTTCTTGACTTGAATAGGTGTTTGAGCATATGAAGCTTTGAAGTCTCATGGAGTTCAAAGGGATTTAAGCACATAGTTAAGTGATTTGCTGAATTAAATCTCAATTAGTATTAGTATTACTAATATTTTATTATTATTAGCACATAATAATTTCATGTATCATCCCTATATTAATGTAATCCTTGGCATATTAAATAGCATACATTACATATTTCTTACATCAGCCTGTTCTTATGTCAGTCTCAAAGCATGGTACAAAGATGGGGAAGTGTCATTAGTCCCATATTACTGACAGGGAAACCAAGGTATAGAAAAGTGAACTGACTTGCCTGAGTAGGGAACAGAAGCCAGGTCTCAGCCTTGCATGTTATTGATTTGGTACCTACACACAGGGCTGCCAACCAGAAGAGCAGGGAGTGGGGAGGGCAAAGGGGACAGCTGCCCCACAACCCGTCGATTTAAAAGGGCCTGGGGCTGTGGGCTGCTACCACTACCAACCCAGCAGCAGCTGGAGCCCCGTGCTATTAAACTGAAGCTGGAGCCCCAAGCGATGTGGTCTGAGCCGTGCTGAGGGTTAGCTGGGGGATGCTAGCCCCTACCCCTGTGCCCAAAGCCCTTCCCCTTCCAAGACACAAAGCCACCTCCCTCCTCCCCCCCCCCCCCCCCCCCCCCCCCATACCTCTTGCCCAGAGCCTGGTGAAGTTTTTTGCGAGCCTTGCCTATACAAACGTTTTCTTCCTCCCTTGTGACTTGGATCTGATCTGCATGACTTCGATCTGTCTCCATGTGCGACGTTTATGTGATCACTGCAATTATTACAGCTACATCATGTTTCCCCCACACAGCATCAAGAGCAGACTGGAACTGAGGAAGAGCTTGAAATGCCAGACCTTCAAGTGGTACCTGGAAAATGTTTATCCAGAACTTAGGTATTGGCCAACTGTTATATCCTTTTTCATAAAGATGTAATGCATGCTGATTGGTACATGACCAGCACCTCCTGGGCCTCCATTTCCACCAGTGCTTTCAGGGTCTGTGAGAGGGGAGAACTCAGAAGTCATCTCTGAGAACCTTTCTTGGGAAGTTGTTCTCTGCCTGTATTCAACAGCAGATGCCTGAGCCAGAGCCCATCTCACTCTGTGTCTCAGGTTTTCTGCTAAACTGTATTTTGTTAGCCACTTTCGGCTGCTCCACACCCCACGGGCACCATAAATGCCCCAGAAGCCATTGCAACAGTTCCCCCAGTGACTAACATCAGCCATCTTTGGAACTGGTGCAAAGGATGCTAGAGATGCACCCAGGGTCCTGCTGAGAGTGATTGAATGTGGAGTCAGAGAGAGAAAAAGTCTGAGAATGAGGCCTGATCTACACTAAATGTTAAGTCAGCCCAGCTATGTTGCTCAGGGATGTGAAAACTGTATTCCCCAGAGTTATCAGTGAAGTAGGTAAACAGATCTAACCCCTAATGCACTACGGTAATGGAAGAATTCTTTCATTGACCTAGATACCATCTCCTGGGCAGGTAGATTACCTATGCCAATAAGAAAATCTCTCCAATCCACTTTGGTAGTGTCTACACTGAAGTGCTAAAGTGGTACAGCCACACTACTCCAGCATATCAAGTGTAGATGAACTTGTACCCTATAGAGCTTTCTTCATGCAGAGAGGCATTGCACTGTGAGTAAAAGACTGATGGGAGCTTCATTTGAGGTTTCCTTACACTTGTGAGTCAAATATATTTCTGTCTGCTGTATTTACTGTGTCCAATGAGCTTGGTCAACCTCCTGCAGCAATGCCACATGAGAAGGCTCAGTTTATCACGTGATACCTGTTTTGCAATGCCAGTAGCCCTCCCCTGAAATTCACACAGCGATTCATTGCATGTGATGGGCCTTGCAGTCCATGAAAGTGACCCATCCTATGGGGCAAACAGCCCTTCCTCTCTTTGAATGCTGTGCCTATCTCTGGCAAGTATTGTAACATCCTCTTGGGGTTCTTTCCCCAGGATTCCTGAGGAAACATTGTATCAATCTGGAATGATCCGACAGAGACAGAGGTGTCTGGAGTCCCAGAAGCCTGAAGACCAGGAGTTTCCAGTCCTGAGCTTAAGTCCCTGCATCAGCAGCAAAGGTGTGGCAGCAGTGGCACAGGTAACAGTTTTAGGCCTGCCTTTCTAATACAGATAAAAAGAAAACAGAGATACACACAGCTGACTCCAGTGTATGGGAGCAGCTTTACCTGCTTTGTTGGCCAGTGGAAACTGACCCCTGCAGGGCAATCTTGGAGTGGCACCAAGCTGCTGCCAATTCCCTTCCCTGTGGTTGGGGAGAAGGGATGGGAGTGTGACAAGGGATCCCTGATCATCCCCAGTTGCCAATAAATCAATTAGTCAACATCATTTGGGACCATTGGCAGCATCTGCCAATTGCTCCAACCACCAAGGGACTAGCCCTGCAGCCAGACAGTCCTAGAATTGAGTGAATGCAAAAATGGCCTAAGGCCCCTTTTGGCCTAACCTGCCTTTCCTAAGCTGCATAGAGCACTCCTCGTCGGCAGTCCAGGTCACCCAGACCTGTTTGCTTTTCACATGCAATTCAAATGCAGAGATCAGAGGAAGAAAATGAGAACTATAATTTCCTCTCATCTTTCTGACCTATTTACTCCTCTATCTATTTCAAAATGTACTGAATTGCAATGGTATTTATAACTTCATAGGCTGCATTCATTCAATATTAAATTGCCCATTAAACTAGCAAGAGCTTAATGAGCGTGACCTCATTTATTTTTTAAAATCTCACTGAGAGACCAAGTATACAACATCAGTCAGCATGTGTTCTCTGCTCCAGATTCTCAGATGCACTGGCACAGGAAGAGTGGTCTTTTGTTGAGGTCTTTGGATTCTATCCTATCTGGGTTTAAATCCTATCTGTGCCACAGGCTTCCTGGGTGACCTTGGGCAAGTAATTTAATCACCTTGAGCCTCAGTTTCTGCATCTGTTAAACAGGGATGATAACACTTCCCTATACCACAGAGGTGCTATGAAAATAAGTTCATTAATATCTGTCAGGTGCTCAGATACTTCAGCAATGGGAGCTGTTAAAATAGACAGTATGCAGCTGTATGTCCCTTGTGTCCCTTGGGTATATATCCCAGGCTGGCCTGGCAGCCGATGAGGTTTAGGCAAGTACTGCTGGCCAAGGCTGAATGGCTGCTTCACAGCAGCTGTGAGAATAAAGGAGATGGGAGGCAAAGGGCTGCTGCCACAGGAGTGAGCAGATTGGAGAATGAAACTCCTGCCAGCAAGCCACTGGGGAGCCTGGCAGAGCCCCTGTGCTGAGAAAGGACAATTGGACCAACAGGCTGAAAAGCTTATGGAGACTGTGGGAGGTAAAAAGGAGCTCAGGAGACAGCAGGAGGGGTTGTAGAAGCCCAGTTCTGCCTGTTTGGAAGATGCTGAGCCTTAACCCACTGGAGCGGGCAGTCCTGGTTTGCTGCTATGAGGATTCCTATGTAGTCATTCTTTGCCTAATGATTCCACCCCCCAATAAGCAGCATTAGCTATGTTGGCAGCAGGCTTTCTCCTGCCTACACGGCACTGTCCACACCAGCACTTTTTGTTGGTGAAACTCTTGTTGGTTTTTTTTCACACCCCTGATCAAGTGCTAGTGTAGGCAAAGTCTAACTGTATATATTGCAATAGTGACTTCCTCTAACAGGTCACAAAATATAGAATAGGCAGTACAGGTTGAACCTCTCTAGTCCTGCACCTTCAGGACCTGACTGGTGCCAAACCAGCAAATTTGTTGAACCACAGGAGGGCAGTAATATCTGGCAGCATTACCAGCACTTCCACTGCTTACTGGGCTCTTAGAAGACATTTAGAAATAAATCAGAGCTAAATAACAGCACAGAACATTTGGAGCCAGGACTGGTGGCTGTAAACAAACTTTATGGGACCACAGGAAACTTGGCTACTTCCATGATAAGTGGACATCCAGCTAACTAAAATCATGCTGGACCACAGATGTTGCTGACCGAGAGTGCTGGACTAGAGAAGCTCAACCTGTAATTGAAAATCCTGCTCATGAGCATTTACAACTTTAGAAAACAGCGCAGGTCCTGTCAATTATATTGTATCACAGTTGAGTCAAATCTTGTTTAATCAAAGCTTGATTATCTGGAAAATGGATTTATCCATTTTCACATTTATCCACATTTATCCACATCCAAAGGGTGTGTTCCTTGATATGCATCAAATATATTGAAAGGATCCTGTCAGTCCAAGACCTTTTCCCATGAGTATTAATAGTAATATATTAGTTACTTATTTGCACTTCCATGGCTAAGTGCCATACTATACTCTGAATGAAAAGCCAGATCCTCAGTGGGTGTAAACTGATGATGCTCCATTGATTTCAACAGATCTAGGAGCTAGGCAGATTTATACCTTTAAGGCTGAGGATCAGGCTTAATTCACATAGCACCATTCTGATGTAGTTCAGCATTCTCCCTATTTTACAGGTGAAGAAATTGAGGCACAGGCAGATCTGTCACCTGATAATTAAGTCCCTTTGAAACCTATAGCCATAAGTTGATTTGCCAAGAGAGACCAAGTTGTCTCCCTCCTAATCCCATCCCTCCCTTACTGAAAGGACCTGCCTGCATTATGGCATTATCCCCTATCGTGAGAAAGGTGTGGCATAACTCCCTACTGAGTCCGACCATGCCAATCCTTAAGTCAGCTGTGTGGAGAGAGTTCTGTGGAGCAGGACTAGATACTGACTCCCCTGGGCTTAGTGTGCTGTCTTTACTGCGCTCCCGGACAGAACCCTGGTATTTTTCCATCTCGTGTCTTGTTTACTAAAGCAATTGATTGATTTAGCTCTTTGCTAGCAAAATGCATTTGGGAGTAAATAATTGATTGTAATTTCGCCCTAGATCATCTAATGAAGATGCCACTGGTTGGCTTATGCATTTGTTTTCTGTTGAAACTGAGCATCAGTTGATAAGCGACTGTGCAGAAACCTTTTTGGAATAGATTTCTGACTCTGGGATGCATTCAATAAACCCATTAATCATTAGCTGTTCCAGGCAGCCTGGCATGCTTGAGAACAAACATCAGAAGTCTCTTAGGCCTGGATACACTTGAGCACATTAACGGCAGCAGCAAGATGATTGTGAATTAGGGGAGAGAAGGTGCCACTCTATGACAGAACACTGTGAAGCTGTGTCATTGTATCCTCACGTGAGGGAGAGACGGCAAAATGTAGCAGCTTTGTCCTAAGGTTCATTACTAGCAATCTAAGGACAAGTCTAGGACTAGAAAAACTGCCTCCACCAAAACTTCACGGTCTCAAAAACATCAGAACCATCCCCTCTCAGAGACTCCCTCGTAGGCCCCTGCTCTGCCTCTCAGTTTCTCTTCCTCTCTCTTCAATGGACTCCTTGATCTTTCTCCCACAAGCCCCAATGAACTCTTAGATTCTTGGATTTTCCTCTTTTACCCCTGCCCCCCAGCTAGATTCTTGGTTTCTCAGAGACTCCCTTGTACTTTGGATCTTGTTGGACCACTGAATCCAGGATGTTCTCTCACAAGTAAGTACTGATTGGTATGCACAGAATGGCCACCAGGGCACCTGTGCTTTTTCCTCTTCCCTCTTCTTGCTCCAAAACCCCCTCTTGCCTGTCCCCACACACCTTTTTGCGAAAACTTTTTCAGAAAAAGGAGTTATTCCTCTTAGATTCAGGAATTCCTACACCAGAAAAACCCCTCTGTTCTTTCATTTTACTTGCACAAAAACATGCTTGAGGTGTGGACACTGCGAGCTTTTCTGCAAAAATGGCCGTTTTTGCGCAAAAACTCTGTAGTGTAGACCTAGCCTGAGACACACACACACTTCTCCAAGACGTGTCTTGCACCAAGAGAGTGTATTCACTGAGAACAGTACTGGTAGGCCACTTTAGCTGTCATTTTATGGTGGATCAGGCCACAGCAGAGAGACAACAGCCTAGTCCAGAATCAGTGACAATAAGTGAGGAGTATTAAGACAGCATCTACCTACTGAAAATACATGCTGTAGTTTACGTGGCAAAATGGGGACTGCAGAGCTAACAGAAGTGTCGGGAGCAGCTCTCCCCTCTTTTCACTTATCTGCATTGGCATGTTCAGCACATCTTCTGAAGTGGCCCCAGTGAGGCTCAGGGCATGTAATATCAGCCTTCCTAGGCAATTGCTAGTAAAGGCTAGTACTTTAATGTTGTTGCCTTAGATGGGCTTGATAGGAGGTAGCATAGATAGGATTCATAGAATCACAAGACTGGAAGGGATCTCGAGAAGTCATCTAGTCCAGTCCCCCACACTCATGGCAGGACCAAGCACCATCTAGACCATCCCTGACATGTCTAACCTGCTCTTAAAAAATCTCCAGTGGTGGAGATTGCACAACTTCCCTAGTCAATTTGTTGAGTATGCTATTGCACTGCCCTGCTCTGGCCACGAGGGCTTTTTGAAACAAATACAGAATCAAGCTGCTCTAATACTTAGAGCAGGTAACTGGAAGTCAGCCAACCTGGGAGTTCTCAGCCCTGCTCCAGCGCTGGTGCCCTATGCGATATTAGTTGAGACGTGTCACCACTCTGTACCTTAGTTTCCCTCTTTGTAAAATGGAAATAATACATACCTCACCAGAGCACGAGGAACGCTGATCAACTAATAATAGTGAAGTGCATTGAGAACTGTAGATGGAAGGGGCTATAGAGCGCTAATTATAATGTTATGTTGAGTTATTAATTATTAATATTAATAACATAATAAACAGAAGTCACCCCAGGGTTTTCCAGGAATGGGTTGTTTTCACCCTTCCTTCCTTCGCTTCTTCTCCAGCCTTAGGGCACAGCTGCGCTCTTCTATCTCAATGGTAGAACCTCTCTAGACTTCTGGCATGTGCCAGCTGGCTACTCTCTGATTGGCTGAGAGGAGTTCTTTTCATATGTCAGCCAGCCTAAACTAAGCCCAAGGTGACAATTTAAAATCACATGATCAATTCATAAGGAAGCTGAGTAACACTGACAGATGCCTCCTTGAATGATGTTAAAGCTTTGAAACACAGTCCCAAGCCTCAGATGGAGTTAGCATAGCCGGGATTTCAG